ACCGGAGTTTTCTGTATCACTGGCACAGGGAAAAAATCATGGTACCACATCAGAAACTCCTCACAGTCTGGGAGTTTAGTTGCTCAGGGATGCCTGACATCCTATCTCCCTTGAGGGTCATTCCTCAGAGGGTCATTCCTCATTCTACTGTCTAACGTCAGGCGGAGACGTCCACCTACGTAAAACAGTCCCACTGGCATAGGGTTCCGGGAACCCTATCCAAAGAACTCAGAACGAATGGGTAATCAAAATTCCAAAATCAATCCAACAACCCCTCTAGGATATTTATTAACAAACCTTAAGACCTTATTACTAGACCAGGACCTCCGTCCCAGACGCCTCTTCTTTTACTCCACGACAGCATGGCCCCAGTACCAACTAGACAATAGCTCTCACTGGCCAGAGCACAGGACTTTTGACTTTAATATCCTTACAGACTTTGACAATTTTTGCCGACACACAGGCAAATGGCTGGAAGTCCCCTACATCCAAGCCTTCTTTTGTTTGAGCTCCCAGCCCTCATTGTGCTCGAAACATAATACCACCCAAATCCTCCTTGCTTGTGAAAAACCCAAACCTCACAAACCCAAACCTCTCCCCCCTCTGAAACCACTCAAACAATTTCCTCTTCCTCCTTCTTTGACCCACCTGAAAACCTTTTCCCACCCCACAGACCTCTTCCTTACTCTGCAACACAACCCCCTCCCCCTCAAGCAGCACCTTCCTCCCTTCCCCTTACCCCTACCACTCCCTGTCCTCCTGTCTCACCTACCTCCCCAGACATCCTCCTCTGCCTCTCCCACCATTTTCTCTCCAGACACCCAGTCCAAATGCACCAGAAATCCCATAAAAATAAAATGCTCCAATGCCTCCTAGCAGGTCTGCAAACTGTCTCTCATAAAACAATTAATTTTGACAAGCGCCCCAAAACATTACCCAGCTACTGGATGAGAACCCAGCTACCTTCCTGAACCGATTAACCAAAGCCCTTACCCAATTTACCCATCTAGATCCCTCCTCTCCGGCTGGAGCCACAGTCCTAGCCACTCATTTCATAACCCAATCAGCTCCTGACATTAAAAAGAAACTAAAGAAAGCTGAAGAGGGGCCCCAAATTCCCATCAAAGACTTAGTAAATATGGCCTTTAACACCCGAGAAGAGAAAGCAGAGGCAGATAGGGAAGCCAGGACCCGCCAGAAGGCCGCCTTGCAGGCCAATGCCTTACTAGCGGCCCTGAGGCCAGCACATAGTGGCAGAAGACCTCCTTCCTCGGTGGCTCCCCGATCCTGCTTCAAGTGCGGTAAGGAAGGGTGCTGGACCAAATCCTGCCCTCAGCCCCAACCGTCTGGATGCCGACCGCCCCCCAGCCCATGTCCAGCGTGTGGTTTAAATGGACATTGGAAGAGTGACTGTCCCTCTGTGTCAAAGCACTAACCCCATCCACTAACCCGCTGTCGACAATCTGGGGCCTGGCCACTGACGACTGAAGGAGCCCAGACTCAACAACCCCGATCACTCTCGCTGAGCCCAGGGTCACTATCAAGGTAATGGGTAAGTCAATCTCCTTTTTGATTGATATGGGGGCTACCTATTCTGTACTCCCCTCCTTCTCAGGACCATGTTTCCTTTCCTCATTCTCCGTTATGGGAATTAATGGGCAACCCTCAAACCCTCCCACAACAAGCCCTACTTAATAGACAACAGAATTCTCGCACACTTATTTCTTGTTATACAACTTGATCTACCCCCCTTTTAGGATGAAATTTCCTCACAAAAATTAAGATCACTTTAACCTGGACTCAAAATCACTCTGCCTCTCTTCTACTATCACTGACTACCACCTCCTCACAGACACCAACCTTCCTCATGTCCCCTGACCTTGTTAATCCATGCATATGAAATACCTCTTCCCCATCCATTACCTCTCATCACCCTCCTATTATACATAGCACATTTAAAAAACCCTACACAGTTCCCGTCCAAACCCCAATTTCGTATCTCCCACAGACACCGGCACAACCTAAAACCTCTTATACAACTTTTTTTTTTAATCTAAAAAACTCTTAATTTCCACTCAATCCCCTTATAACACCCCTATCCTACCAGTGCAAGCAGAACAAATATTACAAGTTCTATCCACAGACCTTCAAAAACACACACTAACCCCTTCCTTTTCCTGACTCCACTGCATACAAAAAAAAAAGTATAACCAATATCTCCCATTGTTTCTTATATATTTCCCTAATTCGACCCTTATTAACCACTGTTCCCATAAACATTACTTCTTTTTCATCCTCCACCTCCTACCAAAGACAACACAGCCTGCACTTCTTTATTACCCTCATTAATTCCTCTTTAGCACCTGTATACTTCCTCCCCAATTCTACTCTTAACTGTACACACTGTTTACCTATAAATGGTACTGTACACCTTAACAATAATCATACCTGCTTTTAATGTAATAGTACAATAACTCCTTACATAAATTCTTCCACAGAAAATCCATACCTCCCAGTAACTATCATTCCTCAACTTATACTCTACACAGAAACTGAATTCTACAACACTAACCCAGGAAAAAAAAAACAAAAAACAAAACTTTCCTTCCTATCATAATTAATCTTTCTCTAACTTCCACCACCCTGTCTGTTGAAGCACAGTATCATGTCAATATAGAACTAGAAAATCAGTTACAGCTCCTAGTAGAAACCACAACAGACTCTCTAACCACCCTACAACACCGACTAACCTCTCTAGCTCAAGTTACTTTATAGAAGCGACAAACCCTTGACCTGCTAACAGCCAAAAAATGAAAAAACATACCTCTTCCTCAGAGAAAAGTATTACTACTATATCAACAAATTTAGCCTCATAGAAAAAATATTAACACCTGAGTGAAGACCTATGCAGAAAAAAACCAAATCAGCAACTCCCCATTCACATAGTTTCAGTCTCCATTAACCACCTGACTACTTCCCCTCATAAACCCATTTATACCAATTACCATCTTCTTCCTCTTTGACCCTTACCTCCTCAAGTTTCTCCAAAGCCAACTTGAAGAAATATCTCGAGTCATAGTGAATCAACTTCTCCTACATGCTTACACCAAGTTGCCAACTGACGACCCCAACTTTTCAGACTCCAACCTTTGAAACCCCTCTCTCCCTCTCCAACCCCGTTCAGCAGGAAGAAGCTAAGAAGATCACGTAGCCCTTTATCCATTAAAAGAGGTTGGAATGTTAGGCCAGAGTAAACTCAAGCCACCAACATTTCAGTTAGCAGCTTCCTCCAGGTGTCAGGCCCTGATGAAACAGCCTGATAAGACAACTGAGGTGGCATAACCCACCCAGGCTGGAAAGCCCCACGTGATGATAAACTTCCTCCTGTGAAGCCCCCTCATGCTAATTAGGTGCAGACCCATGCCAACAACTAATTGGACCCTGCCATTTCCTTAGTGTCCCTGCTTAGGTCCTCTGCAAGACTATAAACCCTACCCTCCCCAGCCAGGCGGCGTGACTTCTCGGGCCCCTCTCAGGGACCCATGAACCTCGCCCGGGCCCCTCTCGGGGACCCATAAACCTGGCCCAGAAGCGCAGAATAAAAACTTCTCTTTAACCTCACTTTTGTGCGTCCTCTTCTCCTTATCGTGGCCTTACAGATACCTCCTTGGAAATCCAAAGAGGGGTTGAAATCCACTCAATGGCAGTGAGGTTTTTTCCTTTTTTTTTTTTAAGTCACGCAAGGACATCTCCAATTATTTTAATTGACAATCAGAAAAATAACAAAGTTTTTGCTTTCTAATACTTGGCATCTTCTCTGTGACCCATACAGAAACAATGTTGTTCCTATTTAAGAAATAGCAAAACAAGATGGGGACAAAAGTAAACAAATCCATACATCTTTGGATAATCTAGTTGTTAGTCCACTAACAATCCATTATTAACACATACTCTGAATATTTTTTAGTATAATTGTATACAAACTGTTTATCTCAATATCTTCCATCCGGTTACATTTCTAATAATCTTTACTAGATCCTGAAAGATGGAGAGAATCAAAATGTCTCGCTCATCTTCATTCAATTATGAATTGTATATGAACATCGAAATTAGGCAGGTGCCTTTGCTTAACTCCTCAGAATATCCAATCACTAAGAGCTGGGGTGAGAATTTAAAAGCTCTGACAATGAACAAGTAAGAGTAAAATCTTGATTAGCAGCAACAATCTAGAATGAATTGTTCTGTTTCACTGATTGTTTTTTTTTTTAATAAAAATTCAACCAGGAAATTATTTAAATTTCAAACCTTTGGTGAAAATTACATTTAAATATTTCAATCAAGTAATCACACTGTTCTTGTCTTTAAGTAGATTTTGACCCAAAAGGCACAACAGCTTCTGTTCATTAAAGTAGCCCAAGAAACAATATGAAAACACATAACACATAACAACAGCAACAATAACTCTCTCTCTCTACTCTCTTCTGAAATGAAGACAATAAAAATTCTTCTGCCTACTGCATAAGGTCCTTAAGACAATTCACTGATATTACATATAAAAATTGCAAAGAAATATATGAATGGAGCCTTTGGTGGTGCAAATGGTTGATGTGTTTGGTGGCTTACTGAAACACTGGAGGATCCAGTACACTCAAAGACACCTTTGAAGAAAGACCAGGCTATCTACTTCTGAAAAGTTAGCCATTGAAAACATGGAGCACAGTTCCACCCTAACACATATGGGTTCTCCATGAGTCAGAATCCACTTTATGGTAACTGTTACGGTAATATATGGATGCAAATCAATAATATTATTATTCTCCCAAAGTTATTCAAGTTCAAACTCAAAAACTAAGGAAAGAATACTCAGGACTCCACTCCTTTCATCATCATGCATCATGTAGAAGCCTAAAGACCTAGACAGATGAATAAAACTAATTTATTTATACATAAAAGTTTATCATGGCATTGACATTTTGGCCGGATCTAACATACTTGCTTACCTGTCTCAGAAAGCAATTTTGTAGCTTCCAGCACTTTCTCAGTATATACTCCAGCTTCATAGTTCTCCATCTCAGCATTGATGATATGGATGACTCGGGCTGCCCGGCCCCTGATTGCCCCTGCTGTCCGGTCCAGGGTGTCCACATCCCCCTCTTGGAGGGCTATCACACACTTGTTCACATCCTCCAAGATGTGATTTTCTGTGCAGAATACAAACATATATTTACATGATTTTATATCACTAAGACACTTAAAAATAATTTAAGATTGACTAATCAATTATCATGTGACCTCAATTTGCATATATCAACATATTTATAATTACATAAAAATGGTATTTGAAAGACATATTTTATTACAGTTGTAGTTCTCAAACCTGAGCCTCATCCATCATGCTTGTAGCCTGAGCACACAAACTGCAGAGCACTACTCTTAAAAGTTTCTGATTCAGTAGACTGGGGTAGGGATGGGAGGGGAGGAATGTGTATTTCTACTAAGTTCCCCTACAGTGGTAATGTCGCTGATTTGGGAAAGACACTTTGAAGACCACTGACAAAGAATATCTCTTTCTTTATTCCAAAATTTGAGATGTACTGCACAAAAGGGTTTTTTTAACACTAATTGTGGCAATCAATATGAAGTCAATCTGACCAGGTTGAAATACTTGAAAATATAACCAGAGCCAGAGTTTGGGGTGTATGTGTTTGATCATGCTTTTTATTAAAGAAACAGTTAAGGGAAGCTAAAGAATGAATGAAGTTCACCAATTCAGTCTTTTAAAGTCATGTCATGGACAAGAAATGTGCAACAAGGAAAATTGAATTAATTTATAATTAAAATACAATCCATTTGTAATCAGATCCCTCATATTACAGACAAGACCAGTCTCCCTTTCCAGTTAGTGTCCAAAGAAGAAACCAACCACAAAGGAGTGGAGATTTCATTCTCAATTAAAAAAGAGAAAACACAAGATCTAGTTAATCAAAACAAATGTGTAATTTTGTATTCTCCATGTCCAATGTGAGATCTATGATTATGTTCCTTTAAGATTCTTTTGCCACAGAAATCTAAGGAAATGTTCAAAAAGTTTAATGCTCTACTGAAAGAAGAAAGAACTCAAGCTGGAAATACAAAAACACATTCACATAATTACAAACACAAATACTTTAAGTAAACAAATGGAACAAGTTTGAAAAAAGTCTTACGTGATCTGTTAACTCGTTAAAAATAATAACTGCAAAATTCAATTCCAAGCTCATTACTGTCGAGTCAGATCCAACTCATAGTGACCCCTCCTTGGGTTTCCGAGGAAGTATCACTATGGGAGGAGATTGCCCAATCTTCCTTCTGAGGAATGGCTGGTGGGTTTGAACCTCTAGCCTTCTGGTTAGCAGTCAAATCCCTTAAGCACTAGATTACTGTCTGTTTAGAAAATGTCTAAGTCTGTTGTTGTTAGGTGCCGCCAAGTCATCCCCAACTAATAGCGACCCCAGGCAGAGCAGAACAAAATACTGTCCAGTCCTGTGCCAGCCTCACTATACTTGCTATACCTGAGCCCATCTTTGAAGCCATTGTGTCAATCCATCTCATTAAGGGCCTTCCCCTTCTTTGGTGACCTCCACTTTATCAAGCATGATATCCTTCTCCAGGAAATGGTTCCTTCTGACAACACAACTAAAGTAGGTGAGAAGAAGTCTGGCTATTCTCACTTCCAAGGAGCATTCTAGCTTCACTTCTTCCAGGACAGATTTGTTAGTCCTTTAACAGACCATGGCAGTCTTAGCATTCTTCTTCAACACAACTCAAAAGCATCAACTCTTTATCGGTCTTCCTTATACATTGTCCAGCTCTCACATGCATAAGAGATGATTAAAAATACCATGGCTTGGGTTATGTGCACTTTAGTCTTCAAGAAGACATCTTTGCTCTTCATCACTTGAAAGAAGTCTTTTGCAGCAGAGTTGCCCAACGCAATTCATTGTCTGATGTCCTGACTGCTGCTTCCAGTGGTGTTTATTGTAGAACTGAGTAGTATGAAGTCCTTGACAACTTCAATCTTTTATCCATCCATCATAAAGCTGTTTATTGGACCAGTTGTGAGGATTTTATATATACAGAGAGAGATGTAATCCATACTGCAGACTGATTTCTTCAGTCTTCTTCAGTAAGTGCTTCAAGTCATCCTCCCTTTCAGCAAATAAAAGTGTATCATCTGTGTATCATAAATTGTTAATGAGTATTACTCCAATCCTGATGCCACCTTCTTCTTCATATAATTCAGCTTCTTAGATTATTTGCTCAGCATACGAGTTGAATAAGTGTGGTGAAAGGATACACCCTTGATGCATTTCCTTCTTGGTTTTGAACTATGCCATATCCCCTTGTTCTGTTAGAATGACAGCCTCCTAATCTATGTATAGGTTTCTCATGAGTACAATCAAGTGTTCAGGAATTACCATTCTTCTCAATGTTATCCATAATTTTTATGATCCACACAATCGAATGCTTTTACATAGTCAATAAAACATAAGTAAATATCTTTCTGGTATTTTTTGCTTTCAGCTAAGACCCATCTGACATTAGCAATGATATCCCTCATTCCATGTCCTCTGCTAAATTCAGCTTGCATTTCTGGAAGCTCTCTGTCAATATACTGCTGCAACCATTTTTTAATTATCTTCAGTAAGATTTTACTTGAGTGTGATATTAACGATATTGTTCAAAAATTTCCACATTCTGTGGGATCACCTTTCTTTGGAATGGGTACAAATATGTATCTCTTCCTGTCAATTGGCCAGGTAGCTGTTTTCCAAACCTTCTGGCATAGACAAATCAGTGGGTCATGTGGTGGGTCATCTGTTTGTTGAAACATCTCAATGGGTATTCCGTTAATTCCTGGAGCCTTTTCTTCACCAATTCCTTCAGTGCAGCATCAACTTCTTCTGTCAATACCATTGGTTCTTGATCATATGCCATCTCCTGAAATGGATGAACATTGACCAGTTCTTTTTGGTATAGTGACTCTGTGCATTCCTTCCATTTTCTTTTGATGCTTCCTGCATCATTCAATATTTTGCCCATAGAAACTTTCAATATTGCAACTCGAGGCTTAATTTTTTTTCCTCAGTTCTTTCAGCTTGAGAAATGCTGAGGAAATGTTCTTCCCTTTTGGTTTTCTAACTCCAGGTCTTTGCACACTTCATTTAAGTAATTGGCTTTATCTGTTTGAGCTGTCCTTTGAAATCTGTTTAGCTCTTGTATCTTGTTATTTCTTCCATTTGCTTTGGGGCAAGTTGCTCAAGGGCAAGTTTCAGAATCTCTTCTGACATTAATTTTGGTCTTTTCTTGTCTTTTTAATGACCTCTTGATTTCTTCATGGATGGTGTTCTTAATATCATCACACAATTCCTCTGGTTTTCGGTCACTGGTTTTCAATGCATTCAATCTATTCTGTAGATGGTCTCTAAATTCAGGAAGGAAGTTATCAAGGTCATATTTTGGCTCTCATGGACTTATTTTTATTGCCTTCAACTTCAAGTTGAACTTGCATATGAGCAGTTGATGATGGTCTGTTCCACAATCAGCTCCTGGCCTTGGTTTGGCCAAAGATATTGAACTTCTCTATCACCACTTGCCACAGATGTAATCAATCTGATTCCTGTGTATTTCATCTGCTGGATTCCAGGTGTATAGCCATTGCTTATGTTGTTGAAAAAAGGTATTTGCAATGAATGAGTCGTTGGTCTTGCAAAATTCTATCATGTGGTCTCCAGTGTTATTTCTGTCACCAAGACCATATTTTCCAAGTACCGGTAACTCATCTTTGTTTCCAACTTTTATGTTCCAGTCACAAGCAATAATCAACACATCTTGATTGCATATTCTGTCAATTTCAGACTGCAAAAGTTTGTAGAAATCTTCAATTTCCTCACCTATGTCTTTGGTGGTTGGTGCATAGATTTGAATAATAGTAGTATTAACTGGTCTTCCTTTTAGGAACATGAATGTTACCCTATCACTGACAGCATTGAACTTCAGGACAGATCTTCAAACAGTCTTTGTGATGATTAATGCCACACCATTCCTGTTCAATTTGTCATTTCTGGCGTAGTAGATCATATGGTTGTCTGATTCACAATAGCCAAAACCAGTCCATTTCAGCTCACTAATGCCTAGGACATTAATCTTTGTTTTGGTTACCTAGTGCCACTTTGAGAAGAATACATCACAAATGGAATAGCTTTAACAAAGAGAAGTTTATTCTTTTATAATTTTGGAGGCTTTAAGTCCAACTTCAAAGTGCCAGGCTCTAGGGGCTAGGTGAAAGCCCCTAACCTTGAGCTTCAGCTCTGCCTCTTGCTTCTGGCCCACTGAAGCTGGAGGGTTTTCTTCACCCAGACAGTTGCTGTCTGCTGAGGCTGACAAGCCTAAGATTGATCAAGTAAAAAGACACAGTCCCAATATTACCAAACCACATGACAGGCCAACAATGACTTGGCTACATACAGGGTTCAAGCATGTCATAAGCTAGAGACCATTCCCAAAGTTGTTTCTTATATACAGAAAGCAGACCACATACCCAAAGCAGCTACTCAGTTGCTCCAATAGATTTCACCATGGAGTTAATTACCAATTTCACCACGGGGAATAACTACAATCAGCTGCCCAGCCACTTATCCAGGCCCAGCCAAACTCAACCACCACAATATCTATGCATTCCATTTCATTTTTGACAACTTCCAATTTTCCTAGATTCATACTTCATATATTCCATGTTCTAAATACTGATGGACATTTGCATCTGTTTCTACTCATTTTGAGTTGTGCCATGTCACATCAGCCAATGGAGGCCCCAAAAGCTTTACTCCATGTCATTAAGGTCATCTCTACTCTGAGGAATCATCTCTTCCTTAGTCAAATTTTGAGTGCCTTCCAACCCGATGGGCTCATCTTCCTACACTATATCAGACAATGTTTCAGGCCTATTCATAAAGTTTTCCAGGAATATATCAGACAGTATTTCACTGCTATTCATAAGGTTTACACTGGCCAATTATTTGAGAAGTGGATGGCCTCTTCCTTCTTCTGAGTCTGTCTTAGTTTGGAAGCTCCAATGAAACCTGTCCACCATGGCTGGCATTTGAAACACTGGTGGAATAGCCTACAGGTCTCACAGCAACACTTAGGCCATCACAGGATG